TATTTGACAGAGTTATAGACACTGAGAGAGAAAGAGAGAGACAGAGAGAAAGGTCTTCCTTCCGTTGGTTTACCCCCCCCCCCCAAATGGCTGCTACGGCCGGCGCTGCGCTGATCCGAAGCCAGGAGCCAGTTGCTTCTCCTGGTCTCCCATGGGGTGCAGGGCCCAAGCACCTGGGCCATCCTCCACTGCACTCCCGGGCCACAGCAGAGAGCTGGACTGGAAGAGGAGCAACCAGGACAGAATCTGGCGCCCCGGGACTAGAACCCCAGGGTGCCGGCGCCGCAGGCAGAGGATTAGCCAAGTGAACCACGGTGCCGGCTCCCCTGCATGCTTCATTTTTGCGACAGTTCTACGGCTTCAGTGCCAGACAAAGCCCAGCAAGACCCGTCCCTTCTTGAGCCAGCGGAAACTATGCCCTGTATGACAGTTGTCATGCACCCCCTTTGACTTCTGTGGTGGGGAAGACAGTTTATTGAATGGGGTGTTGATATACCCTCAAAACAACAAAGCACAAGCCTGGGGATCCAGCAAAGGAAGACTTTCCTATTTCAAAGACTGTATTAAAGCAAGCACCATGGGGAGAGTGGGCACTTTGTTGCTTTGACTTACATTTATTTTATAGTTTGATCTTTATTTGTTATCTACATATATGAGAAGGAGCTTGCCACTATTACCAATGCTGAGGGCTATAAGACTATGATCCGGCCCCGACTGAAGGCTCCCTTGGCACACTCATCTGTCCAGTTTTTTCCAAGCCAGTCTTCTGGTATAGGAATCTTAAAGATAGTAGCCCAAATGAGTAAAACAGAGATAAGGGCAATTTGGGAACCATGGCCCTGCATGGTCTAGAAGGGACCACCAATCTGCTCCAGCCACTTCTTGTCACAAAGAAAGGCAAACTCAGTGTTCTGCATCAGTTTTTCAAGAGAAGACATACAAAATACAAAAGAGAAGAAATACAAAGTTCTCTAAAATGTGAAATTGCTTGTCCTCACTCATTTGTGTGCTTGTGTGTGTGTGTGTGTGTGTGTGTGAGAGAGAGAGAGAGAGAGAGAGAATGAAACATATCATAGGGCTGCCAGGACACTGTTTCTGCTCCTAGGAGTGGGCATTTTAATGCTGTGGAGCCTGGGGCCAGTGCTGTGGTGAAGCAGGTTAAAGTCATGGCCTGCAGTGCCAGCATCCCTTAAGGGTGTTGGTTCGAGTCCCTGCTGTTCCACTTCTGATCTAGCTCCCTGCTAATATGCCTGGGAAAGCAGCAGAAGATGGCCCAAGTGTTTGGGCCCCTGTATCCACATGGGAGACCCAGAAGTTGCTCCTGGCTCCTACCTTTGGATCAGCTCAGCTCCAGTCATTGTGGCCATTTGGGGAGTGAACCAGAGGATGGGCTCTCTCTCTCTGTACCTCTCTCTCTCTCTCTGTAACTCTAACTTTCAAATAAATAGATAAATCTTTTTTTTTTTTTAAAGCTATTTAGCCTACAGGATTTAAAGGCCTAAGGAAACATAGCCCTCATCAGTATTTGTTCTGAGAATTGCAGTGACTGTCTTGGCTGGATGACATCACCCTTTTAATTCCATTTAACAAATATTGATTGTACCAGCCTCTGTGCTAGGTTTAGAAGATACAAATATCCTTAAATCATAGCCCTTGCCTTTAGGAGCTCATAGATCAGTGTAAGAAAAAAAAAACCCACATCATTCAGTGTATTCTAGAACATAGAACTCAATCTCCTGGGTTGGTAAGCTTGAGGTATTAAGTTAGTAAAAGGGCATTGGGTTCTATGTGGAGATCAAAATGCCTTGCAATTTTCTCTGCTACTGCCCAACATCCCCCAAAATGCTATAACAATTCTCTGACAATGGTATTTTATTTTGAGCATGGTTTTATTAAATTTTTTAAAAAGCATATGATTTCTAATATAGAATTTAGCCTCAGGTCAAATAGAGGATAGGCCATTGTTCTTAGTTCCTCTAAACTCTTGGAATAGGAGTGTTTTTGTTGTCCATGGTGAGCCCTTTGGACCATACCTGATGGTTTATGCTAAGGCCATGAGTCAGGATGGAGCCAGCCACACCACTGGTCTTGGGGTAGGGACTGACCTTACCAGGAAGACCAACCATAAAATTAGAGGATTTGGCCTTTGAGCCAAGTGGTGTTTGCCCAACCTCTGGGGAGGAGTGAGGCCCAGAGACTGAGCTCTGTCATGTGGGCTGCGAGTCAGTCGACATGAAACCCGATGGAAACTGTGGACATCTAAGCTTGGGTGAGCATCCTCTGCTCACTACTTTGTTTGTCAGGGTGGAGGTAACATGACCCTGAGGGTAATGGAAGCTTCACATCTGACCTTCCAGACCTTGTCCTGTGTGTCTCTTCTTTTTGCTGATCCTAATCTGTATCCACAATAAGACTGTAATTATCTGTACTGCACTTTCTAGATTCTGAGTTGTGCAAGTGAACCCAGGGAAGTTATGGGTACAGGACACACCTCCAGGTAGCCTTGGGACAACACAGTTCTTCCTGCTTTGTTGCTAAAAGTTGTCAGGAGTGACTGTAGACTGTGCTTATAGTGCAACATCCTGAGATAAGGAAGGACTGGCCAGGACACCCCAGTTTTGTTCCAGTCTCCCCTAGAAGCAAGGGTTCTTCAGTGCTTCAGCCCAGTGAATCATCTTGCTCCAGGTTATAAAACTTCCCAAGGTCTGCTTCTTGGGGTCCCTCAGAAGTGGTGACAGTGAGTCACATGTAGTTGAGGTCCCATCCACCCTTGGTAGCTTTCCTGAGCCTTGGGAACCATCTCTCAATGTATCTTACACTTCTGTTGTCATTTGCTGCCTGTAAGTGATCAATGTGTGTCATGCAACTTGTCATGTGTGGACTCAGACAAGTTGGTAATCAGTACATGGTGAACCCGCTTCATAGTGGAGCCCCCCATATTTATGGCTGGTGTCTAAAGTGGGGGCAGTCTGTGGAGACTCTTTGTCTAGACATGGCAGTTTGGCTACCTCATTTCAGTTGGTGTCAGGAGCTTTTGGCAAACATGGTGACTTTGACCTTGAGTTTGGCTAACTCTGGATAACTGCATATGTTAAAATTATGGGGCATGAACGTAGAAATAAAAGGGGAAGATAGGGCTGGTGTCGTGGCACAGTGGGTTAAACCACTGTCTGAGATACTGGCATCCTATATGAGTGCTGGTTTGAGTCCTGGATGCTCCACTTTGATCCAGCTTCCTATTAATGCACCTGGAAAAGCAGTGGAAGATGGCCAAGTACTTGGGTACCTGAACCCACGTGGGAGACCCAGGTGGAGATGCAGCTCCTTGCCTTCCATCTGGCCCAGCTCTGCATTTGCTGCCATTTGGGGTTGAACAAGCAGACAGAAGATTTCTTTCTTTTTCCTTCTCTCTTCCTCTCTTCCTCTCTCCCCCACCCCTTTCTATAACTCTGTTTCTCAAACAAACATGGTTTTTAAAAAAGGTGGAAAGGGGAAGATGGAATCCTAGCTTTGCAGGAATTTGGAATTACTCTGTTGAAACTGCAAAGGCCATGTTATAGGTTAACCCTGGTGGAAGTCCAGTCAGGTTAATACCCTGTGGCGGTTTGGGAGGATAAATCAATGTGAAATCTTTATATACATAAAGGGACTTGGTTCTATTTGTAGCTTCCTTCCTTCCTTCCTTCCTTCCTTCCTTCCTTCCTTCCTTTCCTTCCTCCCTTCCTCCCTCCTTTCCTCTCTCTCTCCCTCCTTTTCTCTTTTCTTTCTTCCTTCCTTCCTTCCTTCCTTCCTTCCTTCCTTCCTTTCTTTCTTTCTTTCTTTCTTTCTTTCTTTCTTTCTTTCTTTCTTTCTTTCTTTCTTTTTCTTTCTTTCTTTCTTCCTTTCTCTCTCTCTCTCTCTCTCTCTCTCTCTCTCTCCTCTTTCTCTCTCACTCTCTCTTTCTCTCTTTCCTTCTTTCTTCCTATATAACTAAGATGAGCTATGGAGAGGCCTGAGACTGGTAGGCTGCTTGATGATCCAGTATCACTGGGAAATGAAGATGCAGACAACAGAGGGGCAGGGGCGCAAAGCAGTGAGTGGGGAGCAATGCTGCTTCCACCTGTGGCATGGGGTCCTGCAGTTAGTCTCTGAACGCATGTAAACCAGAGGCTCCTGTTACCCCAGCAATGCTTTCTCCTCCTCAAATATGAAGGGAACCCCAACGGACCTCTCTTGGCCAACACACTCTCACATTTTCTCTGGGAGCTGGGGAGTTAGTGACATCATGGTTGCTGTTGTCAAATGCTCTCCCCAGGAATCAGAGATAAGTCTTTTTTTTTTTTTTTTTTTTTTTTTTTGCCTGGAGGGCCCTCCTCGTTGGAGTCCAGGCTCAGCCTTCTGGGGTTTTCTGTAGTGAGGGACCTCATCCATCATCTGCTCTAGCCTCTCCCACAGGGCTGCTAGGCTCTGCCTGAATCCCTCTCCTGTGCCTGAGCTCACTCCCTACCAAGACAAAGTACTTCACTGGGGGACAGTTCTAATTGTTAGAGATTCTTTTCATTTGTTGGGTTAACTTTTTCCTTCTGGAGATTTCTGCCTATTGATTTTATTTTTATTTATTTATTTTTTCTGGAATATCTACCAGAGAGATGATGTTGGGCTTTGCATGGATTTTCTTCTTTTGTCCTTAAAGCTACAATATGAGAGGGCACTACTGTGATCTCCACTTGCGGGTGAGGAAACTGAGGCTGCCACTCAGAGATACCATGGGTCCAATACAATTAAATGACTGACAGACTCACGAGGAATCTAATCCATGCTAAGAAAGAGTAATGTCCTGCCATGAAGGTGACTGATATTGGGATATTGATCATGAGGATGCTGGCACGATGTGAGAAGCTTCAAACTCTTCTAAGTGAGTCCCGAAACATTTACCTTTGATGCCCTACTGAATGAATGCTTTCCCTGATGCTTACATTTGCAACAGAGCCCAAAATGGGGGGAAAAAAGATTCTACTTACAGGCTGACCGGGCTCATCTCCTCCAAGGATTCTGAAGCCAAATCCAGACTCCATCCTCCGAAGGTGAACATCTAGTTCCTTATAATCTGGACCTGGCATGAAGAAGAACCCATTGAGTGATGGCTCCTTTCTGCGCCCCACCCCCTGAGGAACCGAACACACCGATGATGAATCAGTTTGTGGACGTGATTCATGACAGTGCTGTTAGAGTCAATGGCAGTAGAGAGGGTACAAAAAGTATGGGAGGAAAACAGTAGGTAGTCCCTGGAATCACAGTGGCCAAAGGTGTGACCTGGGTATTACCATAGGTAGAAAGAGCAAACACAGTTTCTGAGTTTAAAAAAATGGATACTTCTCTAATTCTTTATTTTTCTGACAGCCTTCAGATTGCCCTCAAGAAGCTTGGCTGTCACTCTGAGGATGTTAACTCTGCCCAGAAGCATCATTTCAGAAATGAGAGAGAACAGATGGCAAAAACACCACAATTACCTAGTTAGTGTCACCTAGTAATTGTTTACGACTTGATGCATCCAGCTTGGATGCTCGTGTGTGCAGAAGTTCGGGGTAAAAATTCATGCTTCTAGAAGTTGTCTTTTACAGTATTGCAAATATTAAGAAATAGAGAATGTAAGGGTTTCTCTGCTGGGGTTTAAGTATAGTGTTTATTATCAGACAAAACACTTTAGTTTTTTCATAACCTATGATAGGCATTCTCCTGGTTCTAAGATGGACCCTTACCTCCCCAACATTTCAGCAAATGGAAGCCACTACCCAAGTATTGACATTATTAGCATGCTCAAGAGTCTGAGGACTCTGAAGTCAGCTGAAAGAAAAGAAATGTGCTTGAAAATCAGCTGGGGAAATCTTTTGGGTAACATTTTTTTTCAGCTGTAGAATAAAGTTGTAAGAGGACATCTGACTTTTTAAGGAGAGTATTATTTATGTTTACCCCCTGCCCCTGGTCCTCTGCACACCCTCAGGAGAAGCAGCTCCGTTATGACAGAGTTGTGTGTAGTTTCATGCCCACTGAGGATGTCAGTACATTTGGGAGAGGGTTGATTATGACATCTTTTGCTGAAGAAGTGTTTAGTGGTTTCTGGGCTTTAATGGTTTAGAAGAGGTATTAAAACTAATAGAAGTTAAGTATAAGAAAATTCTTCTTGCTTAAACAGGATGGTTTTGGGAATTAGGGTGGGGTTTTAGAGGAGGAGACTCCTTAAGGCACAAAAATCTCCAAAATGCCAAGCCACCTGGATACAGTGATAGAGTAGAGACGCTCATTGAGTGACGGCCAGGGGGACCTTACCCAGGCTCTGCAGGAAGGGGGGTTCTGAGTGACCCAGTGTGCAACGATACTGGGCTTGCCTTGGTGCCCAATAGCCCAGGCTACTCCTAGTGATATATGAAAGTAAGCCATTCACTCCTGCTGTATGGGCCAGAGATGGTTACTTGGTGCTCTCTTTAACAAAGCTGAATCAGGCACCTAAGTACACATGTAGGGATATATTGTGACAGACTTACTGACCATTCACTCTTTTATGACCAAATGTATGTACAATCATTTGTATGTGTAATCATTCATATCATGTGTATGCCTTTTCCATTCAATGAATAATATAAAACTCTCAAACAAGAGTAACCGATTAAAATTTCCCTTCCCTCAGCTATCTGTTAAAAGCTATACAATCATTCTTGTTTTAAAGATTAGAGAACTATTAAATAGTTCTTCAGAGTTGGGTGGTAAAGTGAAGCTGAAAACTTCTCCCTATACTCCATGAGACACATCTGGCTTTTGAACTCAGTTTACTCTGGAGTCCATGAAATATTTTGAAATCAAACATTGGGGTGTGTGCCGAACCTTTGGGAGTCTGGAGGCAGGTGTGGTAGCCCCAAATGATCACAGTAGGTACCCTTACTCTTTACCTAGGAAAGGACAAAGGCAAGGGGAGATGGGAGACAACAAATAATGCTCATCACAGTTCAAACTTCTAAAAGTTGATGATAATGTAATTGCTCATGGCAATTTCCTAAGTCGCTTTAAGCTTGGAGGATCCTAGACCATGAAGCAAATACACATAAAAAAATAAAAATAAAAGGTGATTTATTTCTGACACCTAAAATGATATATCAAGGCATCTATTCCTATATTCTTCTTTGGCATTACTTATGAATACAGTAAAGAGGAAATTGTCCGTCTACTGGGATATGCTAGGGTTGAGGAGTTTGTCTTGGCTCAGAGAATGTTGTGATTCCTGGGGGACTTGGAATCAGTTTTTTTTTTTTTTTAATAAATGACTCAGATTTTTTTAGGAGAAAAATTTTGGATTTTTAGCTAGTTAATTTTGTTTTACTGTGAAGAACAGAGATGTGAGCAAGGCATTTATCCTCCTCCTCCTACTCTTTTGGTGCACTTTGGTAATGATTAGGATCTCCTGACTGTTGCTTTGAACCAGGCTGAGGAGAGGGTGGTGTGAGGCCACTGTTCCATCTTTGTCCTTCCATTCATCCAGGCACAGATGCCCAAGCTTCAGGTCCATGAGCACATGAGAGACCCTGCAGAAGAGTGTGGCAGCAGATGTGATTTATTTTTTATTTCTTTGTTAATTTTGAACACAGACTCAGGGGCTGCAGGGCATGGAAACTTCAGAGAAATTGTCAACTGGAAAAGAAGTCTAAATGATAAATTGTGCCTTGAGGCAGCAACATTTTCTTTAAAGGGAAAATAAGATTTTATAGAAAGATAATTTTTTCTTTGTTTCTTTTTTTCTTCTCTTCTCCTTTGAGACTGGATTTACAAAATAATTAAAATTGTATGCACAGAGCTGGGAGACACTAGCTCCTTCTTGCTTTGTTAGCTCTGTTGATGATGTTTCTGATCCTGTCCCTGAACTGCTCCTTTGGCTCTCTGACATGTGAGAATCATTGCATCATGCTTATTTCTTCCCTTATTAAGGCAAGAATTTAAACTGGGGAGATCCAAGGGCCAAGTGCTCACCCCGTTAGACAGAAGTTCATGATCACTACCCTCCTCTCTTGCTTATAAATAACTTATGCAGCCTGGGAGGTTGCTGGGTGAAGGAGCCTGGTAGATATTACCTTCTGCAGCCAAGTAGCTTTTGATGTCACCCAGTCCCTCTTTTGTTCTGCTCATTTGCTTATTTCTGTGCTCTTTTTTGGTTTTCTTCCTCCTCAGCCCTTTTAGCAGAGCTGTCAGGGCACCCTTGGTGGTTGCGTGGTGCAGCTGGAGAGGAGGTGGTGGTTGTGAAGAAACGAATGAAGGGGAGACAGAACATTCTTTGAACATTGATGTTCGATGGCCAGCCACGGCCAATGTTGCCTCTTCCTTAGAAGCTGGGTGCCAGGTTGTTCAGGCATTGTGAAACATGGCATCTCATGATGCTCTGTCCTGATAAAGGTTTTGTGTGACCATGTGGCAAGTTTACTGAGATAGAATTTACCCGTTTAATTTATCCTGAACTCACATCCAAATCACAACAGCTAACATTTAAAAAGTCGGAAATGGCGACCACACCCAGGTACCAGGACAATCTTCCTTATAATAAAGAAAAGTAGAATTTCAAAAGCTGATTCATAATTTACACTAGGTTTCCAGGGCATTTCATGTGTTGTAAACATCCTTGGTCTTGGTTTTGAAGGACATGCTTTGTACACAGTATTAAGAGAAAGCCTGGGTGACTGAACACGACTGATTAATTTTAAGAATGGATTCAATCTTCAAAAATGCAAAGAATGACATTTTTAGGGATTATTTGGGCACATGGGATGCTGCTATAAACATGTTAGTTAAATTTTCGTACTTGAATACCCTTTCATATTTTAATTAAAACATAAGTACCATGGCTTATTATCACAGCTTGGCACAGAGAAGGCATTTATTCAATTCCTCCTGCTGGAAAGAGCATTATTTCTATTATTATTTTTGGCTTTTCCTTGTAAAGAGATCTAGGAAAGACAGCATGGGGAAGGCAGGAAGGCACCAGAAATTTAAGAAGGATATTAAGCACATACTCCAAGTGTCTGGGTTTACATACACTATAGACATGAGTACAGAATGAGTTACATGGGAATTAAATCATTTCTATTGCATAGAAAATCTAACAAATCTAACATTACTAGATAAAATAGCTAATACTTTTTTTAAAAACGAATCCCTTTTCTTTACCTTTCTCCTTTACCCTTGGGTAAGGTGGACGTGACCAGGCAGATTTGACTCATTGCCTACTCTATTTGCTTTTCTGCCTGTAACTAAGTTCAGATTTCTTTTCCTGAAGATTGCCTTGCTCTGCACTTCCATTTCTCTCTTGGAAGAGCAGTTTCCAGTGGAGACTTCACTCCATCTCTGACTCAGTCCTGCCACTCTAGGTTCTGTTTTCTTGGCATTACTGAACATTCTTTGAACATTGATGTTCGATGGTCAGCCACGGCCAAGTTGCCTCTTCCTTAGAAGCTGGGTGCCAGGTTGTTCAGGCATTGTGAAACATGGCTTCTCATGATGCTCTGTCCTGATAAAGGTTTTGTGTGACCACTGTGGCAAGTTTACTGAGATAGAATTTACCTGTTTAATTTATCCTGAACTCACATCCAAATCACAACAGCTAACATTTAAAAAGTCGGAAATGGCAACCATTTAAGGTTGCTGGCTGATGACATCCTAAAGATCAAAAAGAAAGGATGCTGTCTCTTTCTCATTTTGATTGATTCCTTTGCCTCACATGATGTAACTGATGCACCTTTTATGACCTCAGATTTCTTTTGATCCTAAACAGGGTAAGTCCTCCTTTGGGAGTGGTTTCTTTTACACTTCAGGTCTTGGCTCTCTTGACTTTGGGTAGAGTTGGCATCCACAGTTCCTGGCTTATAGCTTCTGTTGTTGCTCAGTAACACCACCCGGGGTGGTGATGCAATTATCTTTGTCTTTGGTATTGTTCCATTATGCACAGCCTCTAAGAGCTGTTAAGTAAGTGTTTCCTGGATTTAGTTGTTTTTATGACACTCACCAGCCTATCAGAACCAATTAACCACAATATTAGCCTACTATGGAGTTAATGCTTCCTTTTATAAATACACGATTTAGTATCTCCTACCATCCGCTTTGCCTCTACACCTAAAATTATGCAAATAATATTAATAATATACCTTTTAATTATGATAATATATCTGAGTAAAAAAATCATAGCACAGGATTTATCAAAGAACATTTTATCGATGAAAGAAGTAACATGGGAATTTACTTATTTTGGATGCTGTCATGATTTTCTGGAATATTTTGATAAGTTATGTGGACAACAAAATATTTGGATCGGTTATTTTCTTGAAAATCTGGATTCTCAAATTATATGAAAACTTTTGTTTAAGTAATGTGCTTTTTTATGTAAAATATCTTTTCACATATGTCAAGATAAATGAAATTATTAGGTAGTCTTTTTATTTCTTCTTTTATTTTTAAATAAAGTGCCTTCAGAAGCTGGGATTTTCATGGAATGTGCTTGCTGTGGCCAGTAAGCTGAGATTTAGAGTTCCAAATTTAATCTTGATTTCATTTTGCAACTATAATTACTAGGTCCAATTTTCTCCCTGGGTATAAGATATTTTTAAAAATTACAAGGACTTTACAGTCAGCATATAATAATAATCATGCTTTAAAATGTTCAGACCAAACTAAACGAATGCTTCAGACATGATTTGAGGACAGAATGCCAAGCAATATTTCCATATTTCCTACATATCCAAAAAAAAGGATGCAGGGACTTACAGAATGAAATGATCTTAAGCACATATATTCTCCAAGGGGTGTTAGGACATGCTGGGATGGATAATGAGCTGTCACCAGGGAAACACTCCAGAGATGTGTGCTGTGAGCCCACAGACCTGAAGTAGCGCTATTATAAAACGCTTTTTTCTGCAATTGTTTCATCGTGCTGGCTTTCAATCCAGTGGCTTAATCATCTGTTCAAAGTATTTCCATTACTAATTCTATGAGTGAAAAATCTAAATCTTCTTTTTCCTTCTTCACTTCCACAATAATGTTAAGCATTTCAGCTTCGGTCAAAAATGTTAAATGGTTAAGTTAAAAACTGTTTTCCTTCTAAGTAAATTAATTGATTATTATCAAAAGCTCTTAAATTTGAAATTATGATAGTCTATGCTAGCTTAAAGTACTATTGAAATACAGCATTTTGTAATTGGCATGGTTTTAAAAAAGTAAGTTGACAAAGGTATTTACTTAGTTTGAAAATAATTTCATTCTATATTACCAAATACTCGAATAAATTTTTTGGAAATATCTAAATTGCAAATCTCTTGACATACTTCAGTTTCTCATTTCTATTTCTCTAGTCTGGCACTGTCCAAAATAAATAGAAAGTAAGCTACATAAGTAATTTAAAGTTCTCTAGAAGCCATATTCAGAAAAGAAAACAAAACAGGTAAACCAAATTTTCATTAATATATCTTAACCTAACACATTCAAAATATTATTTCAACATAAATCAATATAAAAATAATTAATAACTATAATTCACTTCTTTTTTTTTTTCTCTTGTGCTAAGTCTTTGAAATCCAGTGTGGACTTTCACAATCCTCGAGTAAATCTAAACTTAAGAGTGGCCACATTTCAAGTGTAACCCAATAGCTATGCGTAGCTTATGGCTACTCTATCAGCCAGTACAGATCTAGTCATGCTGGTGGCTTTCTTACCGCGTGGTTTCCCATCTAGCTCTTTATTAAGTCATTGTATTGAAGACATTCACAAATAAGACTCTTTCCCTTTGTCTTTCATTGGTAGGCATTGAGGTCTTTCATGATGAGACTTTCTCTCCACCTTGAATGCAGGCTTATGTGGGTGAATAAGATTAGCACAGTGACTACATACTAGAACACTGATAATACTCAGAATGATTCATTACACAAAATGAAGATGTTTAGTTCACAGAACTGTGAGTGTGGAGGAATACTTGCCAGAGGAATCCATTCGAAAACTGGTCCTGGGTGGCACTTGTTCTGGATGGGAAAATGGGGAATTAAAGTTGAAATTCATTTATGGCATTTTTTTTTTGTTGCTATTATAACTCCCCCACCCCAATCTTGTGTTTATGTTTAAGGATTTTTTTCCCCCTCTAAGATCCATGGAAATTAGAGGACGGATTTGCTTTGCTTTCTATGTGAGTGTATATATAAATGCATCTCTCTCACATGTGCTCAAAATAGAAAAATCTACATTCTTTCAAGTCAGGGCAGATAAAAGATCACCATTTCCAAATATTTCTAAACTTTGATTCTCATTTTAAGAATGCACATTTGAAATGAAAGTCAATCCAAACATATATACAGTAAATGGAGATCTTTTAAATCGTGTTATGATGTTGTGTCATAAAACCTGGAGATGAAAAGTAGAAAATTTAATCAAGGATTGCATTGATCTATGCACACCAGTCCAAATATTTTTATTTTCTCAATTATTTTGGTTGTTGATATTGCATGTTAGTAATTCAGCTAATTTATTTTAGCAATAGAAATCATTCATGAGAATTATGATGTGATCTGTTACATCAAACAACGTAAAAATTCATGAAACGGGAGTATAAAACACATTAAAATTCTAGGAATCTCAAAAGCTTAGAGTTCCAGGACCTTGAAGCATCTAGTTCCTTACTATATACTGGAAATATCTTCAGACACGTTGCTGTAGTGGATCAAAATTTATCAAAGTCCAATTGACATGCTTCGCCCTCTATTCCACGCATGGACATGTCTGAGAAAGGTAGACTTTCACCATGTCTTTATCTGAAACTACTGGACATACAGAAAGTGGCATAAATTGTCCCCAGATTTTCATTCTTCTTTCCACATCCAATATCTTACATCCACATTATAGAGGAATTATCCGAGTGACAGAGTCACAGTCACCTCCGAGAGCTTACATTCAAAGCCCTCTATTTCACAGATGGTAAGATAAGGGGCCCAACATGCTAAATCAGTTGTAAAAGTGATCCCACCTCTCGGGAAACTCTTTAAGGTCATTTTCAGAAAAATAAAGCTTAGAATATTATATCTATGTGTTTATTTCGTTTTCAACTTACTTAAAATGCACTATTCAATAAATCTCTGTCTTTTGTTCCATTTTAGTGCTACCATGGATAAATATTGCACCACTTTTAACTGTATTATATTTTCCCTAACATTTTCAAATATTCTTCCTATGACTTCACAGTCCTGTCAATAAAGTTCCAAACCACACAACTGGATTTAATATAAGATGCGCAGAAGATCTAAACACACAAATTTGTGGTCAAGAAATACTTAAGAAGAGAAAAAGCTATGTAATGGTAAGCTGAGGTATTTCTATCAGAATATTTTTACCTCTCTGAACTTATATAAAAGTTATCTTGTTTCTTAGCTTTTGAATCATGTGAGGAATTCCAGATGGAAATTAACTAGAAGTTATTAGACCTCTTTAAAGTATAAATTCACATAATAGATAAAAGAATTCTAGAACTTTCTTGCAAAAACCACTTCTTCCACACTTTTAGATGTCAATATGGACTCTTATTAGCTTGGATATTTTAGACCATTACTATGTTTCTGGTCATACAAGTAATCACGTATTAATGATAAGTAATAAGCAGTCATTTGTTGTTCCTTTTTAAGAGATTTTCTAGAGGTGGCAACTTAAAAGACATAACAAGACAGAGAACAATTCTACAATTTTTCTTTCGTAAATTTAAAATTTTTCTGAATAAAAGTAAAAAAAAGCAGAGAGCAAGAATAAAGTACCATGTGACTATGATTTTGACTAAGAAGATAATTTTAATAATATAGTTGAGCCAACGTAAAGTGCTATGAAGAAGATGAGTATTTAATCAGTGAATTTGAAAACTTAAGACCACAATCTCATTGCTTTGGCACTGAGCTTTGTTTCTCACTCAGCAAAGGCGTAATTCCCGTGCCTGCTAGGTAAGCTGCTTTCATAGTACAGAAAACTTACTTTTCTAGCAGAATCATTATTATTTTTTTAGAGAATGTAGATAACTAATGTGACTGCCTAAGATTAAGAATTGAGAAATATCTTTTAAACAAAAAAGGTAGGCTTGTAAAGGAATTGAAGTCTGCTACTACCTTCCAACCTCTACATTAGGTGTAAAATGGCATTTTATATTATTGTCTCACCAGGACATACTTGCCAATGACCAGTTAAACTCCGTTTACTGCAGCACTAATGTCCCATATTTATTCAAGAAAGTACTTTGGGTTACACTGTCAATTTGTACTATCAAAAAAATGCCTTGACATATTAAGTAACTTTGAATCAAGGACTGAGTCTATCTTTTTCTTTCCCCTCCCCAGTCCCTTCTCTAATTCTGAAAAAACATTGATAAGCTATAGGTATGAGTCTAATTTTTAAAATATACAAATATGTGCTGTACCACAACTTTTATTTTGACTATCGATATTATCTAGCTTATAACATGGTGATTTTTTATTATAAAAGGAGACTGTTAGAAATATAAATGCTATCATAGTTTTTTAGAAAGCTAACCAAAGCACAGGTTTTGAAGTTAGATTTGCAAATTAATTAAAATCTACATTTTAAAAATGGCAAACATAGCTTAACTGGATTTATTGATCTTGATTATCAATATATTATAAATGCAAGGTGATACATGACATGATATATTAGAGACTAGCAGAAAGGCAATTTTTTTCATGGATAAATCATAATATAAATCTTACTAAGGACAGTGATAATGCTTTTCTCTTGGGAAAAGGGTACAGAAAATTAACCTTCATAGTAAAGTCAAGGACATTGTAAAATGATAATGTTGTTAAATTATTTTCTACCCTTTTATGATTATAACGCTGGTAAAAGTATCTTGAAGTGGATTAAGACGGCAGAGCAGGGACAGAGCTTACTGCTCTAGTCTAGGAGAATATAGTTTAAAAAAAAGTGGAGAGCGTGCAGTCTCAGTGAAGAGTTAGGAAGAAAATGGAAGGGGAAACTCTACACAAATTAGAGGGACACACTGGATCTATGTGGAGGACATGGACACCCACAACTCTAGACCCCAGCAGCTGAGAGCCTCTGAAACAGCATTGGAGAACAAGGTGAGAACAGACCACAGCAACCCAAGTCACTGGTGATGAAGCTGCAGGAAGAGCCTAGAGAGAATCTGTCTTAGATCCCCAAGGTAGATAGTGTACCTGCCAAACTAGAGGGGCACGTTTCTCTCTTCTCAATCACCTTGCAATGGCATCCTGTAACAAGCCGATAGAGAATGGGTGTCATTTTGGATATACTTAGCAGCTGCACCAGCTCATGGCTGGCCCAGAAACCAGCTGAGGGGAGACTCCTGTGTCTGGTAGGGAGAACAGACAGGGTGCTGGGTGCTGCTGACTGTGGGAAGCTTGTATGCTGGGACTGTGAAAAAACTGAGGCTGTATGGGAGGGTTCATGGTATGGCTGGGACTTTCGGCAGTCACTGTGGAAGGCTCCACACACTCAGGGCTCCCTGTTTACCTGGTGAGGAACATTGCTGAGGGATCTGAGCTCACACTGAGGAATGCATGGATCCTTTGCGTGGTCCTTGTGGCAGAGCAGATGAGCATATTACCCACTGGGGATAGTGCTCAGGCACTGGTCTCCTTTGAGGAGAGGAGCTCAGCTGAGCAGAATAAACTTCCCCTATGACAAAAAAAGAGAGATTTACCATGCCAAACCTAGGTGTCACCTTAGGTACACCCTTCACCCTGGAGAACTGAATAGAGCTCCTTGGCTGCACCCACCACATGCCTCTAGGTATTCACTGAAAGCAGATACTCCTCTAATCTACAGATGCACGTATACTGAAAGTAAAAGGATGGAAAAATATATTACATGCTAACAGAAACCAAAAAAGAGCTGGTGTATTAACCCTAATATCAGAAAAATAGACTTTAGCATAAAAACTGTTAAAAGAGACAAAGAAGAGCACTATGTAATGATTAAGGGATAAATCCAATAGGAAGATGTAAGTATTATAAATGTATATGCACCTAATTACAGGGCACCTGGATATTTAAAAGAAGTGTTAAGGCATCTAAAGGGAGACATAGACTCCAATACAATAGTAATGGGGACTTCAATACCCCACTTTTAGCAATGGGCAGATCAACCAGACATAAAATCAGTAAGGAAACAGCAGAGTTAATTGACATGATAGACCAAAAGACCCAAAAGATATCTAAGCTTGATTCTTCCTACAGTTGCAGAATAAACATTCTTCTTAGCAGTGCATGTAACTTCTCTAGGACTGACCACAGGCTAGGCCATAAAGCACATCACAGCAAATTCAAAAAAATTGAAATCATACCATGTATCTTTTTGGGCTACAATGCAAAGGAACTGGAGTCATCAACTCAAGAATCTCTAGAACATATACAAACACATGAAGATGGAACAAAATGCTTCTGAATAATCCGTGTGTCATAGAAGAAATCAAAAGAGAAATAAAAATATTCTGGAAACAATGATGAAAACAATACAATATATAAAAACTTACAGGATACAGTAAAAGCAATGTTATGAGGAAAGTTTATAGCAATTGGTACCTACATCAAGAAATTAGGAAGGCACCAAATAAAGGAACTATCAATGCATCTCAAAAATCTAGAAAAACAATAGCAAATTAAACCCAAAACTAGTAGGAGAAAAGAAATAATTAAAATTGTAGAAGAAATCAACAAAAATGAAGCAAAAAAAAAAAACAGTACAAAAGATCAGCAAAACAAAGAGATGGGTTTTGAAAAAATAAGCAAAACTGACACATCTTTGGCCCAACTAATCAAAAAAAAAAAAAAAAAAAAAAGGAGAGAGAAGACCCAAATCAATAAATTTAGAGAGAAAAAGGAGATGTAATTAGACACCACAGAAATAAAAAGAATCATCAGAAATTACTACAACAAACCAGTAAACCTTAGAAGGAAAGGATAGATTCCTGGACACATACAACCTACCTAAATTGAAC